CTTGCAGTATCAAAGTTACAACGCAGCTCAAAATCATATATAAATATCCTGTTGTGACCGCCAAACTGACTGAAAGCCAACCATATTAAAGTTTACTATCACTTATGACCAAAAAAAGATGTCCTAGACCTAGACGACAGGCGGCACAATTTGTCCGATTTATGTCTCCCTGATGATGTGTCTGACATTTTGGACCGTGTCTCCAGGGGGTGGGGGGGGGGGGACCTGGGACTTTACCGAGACCCCCACAAAACAAACCCATTCTTCCTGTGCGACTGTAACCGTTGAGCCCCTGTCAACACACAAAGGGTCCAGAGAGCCATAAAGCGGAGGCCCAGGGGTCCCATATATCACCAGGACTGGACCACAGAGTGAAAACAATTTTTAAACACGTGTGAATGCTTCTTGCTCACCAGGGAGAAAGGACAGTCACATGGCTGGCAGGACGAGTTACAAATCATGAAGCGAGACATCCAGCATGTGAAATCAGCCCAGCAGGCGCCACTGACAGAAATGTCTCCAGGCAGGCATGTCAATTTAAAACATTAGAAGACAGACGTGTGCGTTAGCAGACCACAATGATGTATCATGCAGATATTGACATTGGAGAACTGGTACACACATTTGGGAGACTTTAAAAATACTTCTTACATATCTGGAGACAGACTCCACAGGGTAACCCTACTTTAATGTTCAATTTGGGATTCATAATAGTTTTTATACGAGTCTATATCTTATCATTGTTACTGTTGATTTATAATTTCCTTTTTCTCCCACTACCAACTATAAGGACACATAAGAGCGGGTTATCTGTTCACTTCCTGCAACTACATTGTTTCCTTTATTTGTTTCGGTTCATTTGCACTATCCAGTTCCTTTTTTTGGGAATTGTTTTTGTGGTATTTTGGTGTTTTTATTACTTATTTTTCTTGGTATAGGTACACATTTGTGTGTTATAGGGTGTAGTGGATGGCTGGAGGGAGGGGCCGGGCTGATCGGGTATCATTCAGATTACCTTTCTATATATTATATACTTATGCTGGAAAAATAATCACTAAAAACAATGTTTAAAAAAGGTCAAATTTGGATTGAGGGGTTTCGGAGATAATTAGAAGGGGCGATCATGGTGACAGACGCCTCAGACGAACCTTATTGTTAGTGGAGCACAGGTGCCACGACAACACACACCTGTAGACAAAGCTCGTCCTGCAGGTTTGTCACGAGCACACAGGAAACAACAGCCACAGATAATCATCACTCTGCAAGGGTGGCAATCAGCTGATCAGATCTTCCTCTCAGTGACAGTGGACAAAAGCAGTTTGGTTGGAAAGAGCTTTTTTTTTTTCTTCTCCCTGGCCTCAGCAGGCTTTGTGTTTTCTAAGCACCATTCAGACAGATGACCCGCAGCAAACATCCTATCCACAAGAAACTGGGACACCAACTGATTCGTGGATATTTAAATAATTGTGGTGGCCGAGAGAAAAGGGAAAATGCTTTTGCTGGTTGCCATGGAAGGGGATTAAGTGAGCAATATAAAAAAGGCACCCATGGCTTTGAATAGAAGTGTAGGAAGGGATTAGTGGCGTTAGAGAGGCCGCCATATGACCTTCTGACTGTTTAGTTCATTAAGTGCCACACAGCCTGGAGTTTGTGTTTGTTATCCAACTTTTGTTTCACAGAAGCTCCTCCACCCGCTTTACTGCCAGTTTAATTAAGCCGCGTCCATCATCTTTAACTAGAGTCCTGAAAAACTATTCCTAATTTACAAACCCCCCCAAACAATTACTGAATATAAAAACACCACATAATGGGGTGTTAGGTTGAACAAACACAAAAGGCTCCATTCATGTCTCTGAAATTAAGTTTCATCTCATTCCCATATGAACTTCTCGTCTGAGTTTAATCACAGTTTGTTTCCACCGAGTTCACTGTGGAAAACCCTGACACTCGAGTCCCTGCAAACATCACCAAATGTGGGATCGCTGTGACCTTATAGCTGGTGGTCCCATGTGAGAGGGGGGGGGGGGACTCTCAGCTCCATGAACCCAGAGATGTAGCTTAGTGAGGAACCACATTAGGATGAATCCCACGAATTCCTCCGCCTGCGTGATACTCGTTTTAGTCTGAGACAATGATGGTATTTCACAGCAAGCTCTCTCAGGACACAGGGAACAGGGGAAGATTTGAACAATATGGGAAATTGGGATAGAAGGGACTTGCATTGTAAGATAAGATATTGATCCCAAATTAGGAATTGTTGTTACAACAGCACACAAGCATTGTAAATGTAAAGTCCTGCTAAATAGTCTTATCATAGGTTTGTTTTCTGTTCTTGAACTAGTGCCTACTTGTGTGTTCTGTGTATAAAGACAACTTGTGTTTTGTCTTATTTGACGAGTAATTACGTCCTTTCAGGCTTCCTTTCTCTCCTGAACCGTAATTACAGTTCTGTTCTCCAATTGTATGTTTTTTCTATCTTCATTATTGGACAAATCCCCTTTTCTTAAATCAAACTACATCAAACACAGTATTACAGGTTATATGCAGGAATCCTGAAGTCAGATGTAATACCTTTTAAGACCTTTTTTAAGAGCCTTTCCATACATTTTAAGACCTCATCGCCACTTGGAGTTCTAACCGGTTACATTGGCGACACACTTTACCTCACATGTACTATATACAGTATTGATTGTCCTTCCTCCTTATCTTCCAACCATTTGGACGCAAACTTGCATTTCCCCATAACGATGTTGTTTAACAACCGGCGTAAACAGACCTTCGCGCGCTATCAAGCAATGAGCGTGTGATGTCCTGTTCAGATGACGTCAAACCCAACGGGATGCCATAAATAAACTACACAGAATCACACTACACACCTACGCAATGATTACATTCAGGCAGACTGTAGAATACAACCTCTTTGGACAATTCATATACTTATTGAAAACAAGATACAGAACGTAATACCTTGGAAAATGCCGTTTAATACTTTTTGATAGCCTTAATTTTTGCTAAATTGATTTATCAACTTTTAATACTTTTTAAGACCCCGCGGACACCCTGTATTAGAAAAACGTTTGAATTGTCCTCATTCCTTCACTATTCAAAATATGAATCGATTTCATTCGTATTTCTTTCTACTCATTTCAACTCCCTCTTTCCTCCTCTATACACACACACTCATAAATGCAGTGATCAAAGCAAACAAAAAACTAGTAAATCATTACAGTGAAATAAAATATTACTACCTCAATATACTCCTGTGCTCGCACTATTACTATAATAACACTTGTGATAAAAGTTTCGCATTTAAGTGATTTATGAGGGGAAAAGGTCTTGGCCAAACAAAAACAGACTTCGGGGGAATAATGGAGTTGCATGAAGGTCAAGAAAACATTTAATACGCCGCCTTGTTCCAAAGTTAACAGCTTTTTCTTGTCTGGTTTACTGATCTATGAGAACAGAAGATATACATGTATATCTTAGAGATAACCTCTTCTTAAAGGGCACAGTTTTGGGAAAGCAACTGGTGAGGAAAGGACGTTTAAATCAGATACAGTAGCTTAATCTGAAATGTCAACAACACCACTTTTTAAAAGGACTCAGTCTTCTACGTCATTGCATATTCGCAGTAGCCATTACTCCTGCACGGAAAACCATAAAAAGGATGGTACAGGTGTTTTATGTACCAGCTGTGTTTCTCTGACTCAGACAGAGTAGTGTGACGGTGTCTAAACAGTGACACGCTGAGTCATGCATCCTTGTAAATGTGTGTGTTACAGGTGTCATGACAGACAGACAGATGTCTCACCTTCCTCTGCCTCAGGAAATAATCCAGGCATGACTAACGCGAAACAGGAAGTCCTCTTTTGTCAGGTTTACTTTAAAAGAACTGATTTGCTGCTCTCACTTATGATGTAATGTCTGCCTCATTAATTGGCTAGACTTAATGGATCAGTGTGAATCACCTAAAAGTGAAATGAACTTTCTTACAGTGTTTTTTAAATGTCTGATAACATGTGTCACGCCAACGCTTACTTTAATCAGTTCTCACTATGACTGACTTTTATCTTTTTTATGGATCAATCTGTCAGTTATTTATTTTAATCATTGACTCATTGATTAGTGCATGAAGTGTCTGAATCTATTCTTCAAAGTGGATCACAAGTCCAGAACACAAGAAGACATTGATAAATGACCATAACAGTTCAAATTGTTGGCGATTAGAGTACTAGATGTATCATTAAGGTTTTAAATCTAGTTTACGCTGACAAAACAATAAAACAACCCTCTGTTTAACTAACAACTGCATTAATAACAACCTCACTTTTTACATTGACAACTAATTAGAAAAACAAATAGTATGTATTGTCATTATCCTTTAATTTGCCTATAACTTTCTAAATGTTTTGATTGTTTATTCATTGAAAAGTCAAAATAATGGTGAGAAAAATACCTATTTAAATTCCTAAAAATCCAAGGGGACCTCTTCTCTGAATATAAACAATAAAACGTTATATTAAAGTGACACACACACATATATATATATATATATATATATATATATATATATATATATATATATGTCACTTTAATATAACGTTTTATTGTTTATATATATATATATATATATATATATATATATAAGTACAAAAGGTACTAAACCACCTGTCAGGATTACCATATAACTATACTGTATATACCATATAAAAGGCAGGGGCAAAAAACGTTGTTGTTTGGACAACAGCTAAACATGTTGGCTACTGTTGAAAGAAGCTTATGTTATGTTGCACTAAAGAATGTAACAGTAACAAACCAACACCAGCATGATGAGAAATACATTTAAGATCTCATCCCCATATCATAAACACATCCATGCCTGCTGAATGCTATATTAATGTATCTGTATTTCTCCAGGCAGGTAGCAGTATCTCCACAGCAGTGCACCTTCATGAGCAGCATGTGACTTTAGGTAAAGCACATTTATTGAAGTAACTCACCAAGGCTCGGAGAGAGGACTCGTCCAGCGCAGAGTAGCTCTCCACGGACATGTTGGTCTGTGAGGTCGAGCTCAGGTGAGAGAAGGTCTGGATGATAAAAACGGGTTCACCGGTCAGCGTGTGCTCCTCCACCTGCACGACTTATTGCGGTTTTCTTTCTTTTTTTTTCTAAATCTTCACCGCAGATATATTCAGAAACTTCCCTCAGTGAATATAACCCTGTTTCCCGCTTATAGAGAGCACATTCCGGTCCTCTTGTCGTCTCTTGGGTGGTAGTGAAAGGAGCTCTCAACGTTTCGAACCAGGGGACGTTGGCAGCTTTTTGAACTGAGGATTCCCACTGAAAGGTGTAACCCCGCCCCTCTGTAACCCCGCCCCTCTGTAACCAAGCCCCTCTGTAACCAAGCCCCTTAAAAAGTAGTGCAAAAAGACTATGTCAATAGAATATGGGATATGTGATATGTACAAGAACAGAATATGAAATTAAATAATGTAAATTAAGACAAAAGTAAATACGGTTTATTGCGGTGATAACTATTTATATGAATTAGTATATATCACCAGAGAGGGGATTAGTGCCCCCCAGTTTGTGTGGACATACGAGAATCGGCAATTACATAAAGCAAATATAATCCTGAAATTTTTTCATATGACCAGAGGTGGGACTGATATTCAGATGCTTTACTTGAGTAAAAGTACCAATTCATTATTGTCAAAATACTTCATTACAAGTCCAGCTTTCAAAATCTTACTTAAATAAAAGTACAAAAGTATTCTCAACAAAAAGTAAAGTAAAAGTAATCATTGTGCAAATATGTGGTATTTCTAGATAATATTGTTTCATCAAGTAGCATGTTACTGTTGGAGATAAACAAGGTTCTGAATGACTTTTGTAAAATGTTTAAATAATTTGTCTCTCTTGTGAGATATTGGTCCAGCACACGTGTAGTTTAATTGCACAGATGCATTTTATTAAAAGAAGCTAAATATTTTTGTATAAATGTATTGGAGTAAAATTACATGATTTCCCTTTTAAATGTATTGGAGTAGAAGTATAAAGTAGCATAAAAAGTAAATACATTACATTAATACAAGCATTATTTTTCAAATTAACCCCTTCTTATGAACAACTAACTAAAATATGTCTTGTATTGGTATCAGATTATTCCCAGGAAACATCATAGAGGTATAAGAAAATGATGAACTTGGAAAATAAAGCAATAGCATTTTATCTCCTCAAATAAATCTGACTACTTCAGATTAACACCATGCACTTGGTTGGATGCAATGTTATTTTTATTTCCCTTTATCCCTCTCTCAGGCAACACTAAATACAAATTAAAAAAATCCCTTATAACAATGACTGTCAGCTGATTCAGTAAATACATATCATACATTAATCATGTATTTTGAAGTTCCATTAATGATAAGTGTATTTACCACCATTATCTATAGGTACTACTACTAGTTTCCCCAGTCTTATATCATACTTATTGTGTTGCTCATACAGTATTTACTCATTGCAACAGTCTCGCCTTTCTTCCCATAATCTCCTTATGGGTTTACGAGTGTATATCCTTTACTGTAGACTGTTTTCGAAGTATACTAAACACTGTCTAGACTCAAGTTGACTACCCTTATTATGCAAACTAATGACTCATTATATTACATTGGCAGCAACAGGAAATCAATTCTGTTTTTCGAAATATTCAATGGAGCTTCACTGTATGATAAATGGTTAATTAAGATTCAGTTTTTAAAACTTTAAAAGCCATTTAAGTTGTAATAACGCAACAAAACTGTGTGATCCTTGGGTAAGTGGAAAAGTTTCTTTTTGGTGTCTATCTACGCCGGGATCCTGAGTCGTGGCTGATCCTGTTGCTGCGGTCCTTTATCCTGAGTTCTGGATTTGAGTCCTGGACTTCGAGTCGTGGCTGGGCCTGTCTCTGTGGTCCTGCCTGACTCATCATACTACTTCCCTGATGGCTCCCACAGGATTGTTGACATCCTTGTGGATTCATCTTCTTATTATACTATAGACACATGCATTTCCAAACATTTGGTCTACCTATGCTGTAAAATGTATTATCTCTTCTATTTACACACGGCATCTATTGCACGTCTGTCCGTCCTGGGAGAGGGATCCCTCCTCTGTTGCTCTCCCTGAGGTTTCTCCCATGTTCCCCTTTAAACTGTGGGGTTTTCTCTGGAAGTGTTTCCTTGTACGATGTGAGGGTCTAAGGACAGAGGGTGTCGTATTGTTATACTGATATTCTGTACAAACTGTGAAGTCCACTGAGACAAATGTAACATTTGTGATATTGGGCTATATAAATAAACATTGATTGATTGATGATTGAAAAGTGGCACATCAAATACACTGGAATTGGCATCACTGTTGGCACTAGATAAGGATGGAAATTGTTCTAAAGATATACATATATTTCAGCCGTCCTTCTATGCAGTGTTGGTTACCTGAAGGTTATCTTGACGTATAAAAAGGTAAAAAAAACACATTACAAACTGGAGCCATGAACATCCTCATTAAACATTTAATAGCCTCACAAGACAAAGAGCATGAAGACAGTTGTTCTTAAACAGGATAGTCAGCCGTGTGTCGTGAGTGCCTTCAGTCCAAAGAAACACCGCGAGGAGATTTCACTGATTCTTTTCTCCTCACTAGCCGAGGTTGATGATTGGATGTTAATCAGGAAAACACTCAGGCGTTGTCTTTAGATATGAAGGCTCAGCCGTCTGAGGCACACGGTCGCGTATCTTATATATTGCTAAAGTGGAACCTATGTTACACACAAAATACATCTCAGCAATCTTAAATCCTAATTCATACTACCTAAAAAGAGGATTGGACAGGTGACACTGCTTCAAAAGCCATCGTATCATAACAACACATATATAGTTCTATAGGTATGATTAAAAAAAATCTAAATATGAATGAAGAGTATTAAAGACAAATGTTTAACAGTATAAAAAGACATATGTTCAATTACACAGTTGTTGTTTTGTGTGGTCAAAGATGCATCGAATCTGTTCCTCAAGCCCTTTTTTTAACAAAATAATCTATCAAGGTGCTTCAGGTGACATAGAGGTACAGAAACCAACAGGAACACTGTGAAAGAGCCGGAAAGGACTGGCAAACCTGGAGGAAAACGACATGTCCTCGTCTGAACTAACACGGTAAAGATCAGGTTAGACAAACGCACAGCGACTCTTGGTTCGATGTTCTCAATGTTACTAATCAGCCATGACACGACTTAAAACAAAATCAAATTCAGCACAAATACAACTGCTTTTATCATTTAAATTTTAGGGCTAAATGTTAGACATACAAACATTTGAAACAAATCTTGACATGTATTAATTAACCAGATTAATTACCGAGGCTTTTATAGTAAAACTCAACAGAATATAAACGGCTAGATTGTTGCACAGGCACTTATCAGATTGGTATATTATTTGTTTTCAGAAGTGTGCAGAAAGATATATGGAAAGCACAGAGGGAGATTTGGTTTTTGTTTTTCTCCTCATGTTCCCGCTCTCACTCCTCCTGCTGCTCTTCATTTTGCTTCTTGGGTAACTGCAAATGGAAGAAATGGAGGAGACAAACATGTGTTGAGTGGAATAAAAGGAACATTCACCTTAAGGCAGAGCTTACACTGTACTTAAATTATTCTTTAAAGCAATCATGTTACAAAAAGCTTATTCAAGGAGGATTTTTCCTTTAATATCCTGGCAGCACGTCTGTCGACTTAAATCAGGGGGGTCAAACTCAATTTCATCACGGGCCACGTAGGAATTATGGTTGCACTCAAAGGGCCGGTTGTAACTTTAAGACTATATCAAAATACATATATAAATATTTAATATATATAAAATAAGGCATTATATTACATTATTGCCTCTGCATTGGATTATTATCTGATAGGGTAATAACTTCATAATTAACTACGTCTGAAAGCAGAAGTCTAGGGCAAGTAATTGCAAGTCTCTTCAGTGAGAATGTTACAAAATGATTAAAAAAGAAAAGCCAAATTCTGGAAAAGAAAGTCAACAAAAAAAAAGTGACATTTTGAAAAATAAAGTGACATTTTGAAGAAAAAAAACTGACATAAAAATAAAAAATAAAATTTGAGATGCATTGTGGGACATGTAGTTTATGGGCAACGTGCTTCTGTAAATCGCCATGTAACCGTATAATAAACATATTATATTCTTTCAGAGCTCTTGTGGGGCCACAGAAAATGAAGTCGCGGGCCGGATTTGGCCCCCGGGCCATGAGTTTGACACCCCTGACTTAAATATTATCATGACAGTAAGAGAGAGTTATGATCCTCATGTAAACATAGTAACATCATTTACATACTGCTGTGATTTTGCTAAGATTTAAAAAATCACAATAGATACATTTTGATAAATAAGCACGTGTTAAAACATACACTTCTTTCCTGTATGATTAACCTTTACACTGGTATATCATTACACACTGTATACACTGTAGGTAAAGTACTGTCACAGTCAAAAGACAAAGCATTATCATCAACTGTTTTTTTAAAGAATCTAGGTGTACCTTTGTCAATGAACTCCCTCTGCCTTCTTTATTTTCTGGTAGATGAACTCTGATGGACAAACACATTCAAATTAGAATATAAATAACATTCTCTAACACAAAGAACAAATCGTTATTTGATGGAGGATTTTTAACTGGGTCAAGTCGGACTAAACAATAAGTCAAAGACTGGTTAGAAATGGAAATAAGAGAATGTTGTTGAAGGCTGAAGAGAAAAGAGAACTGATGAAATAGACGGTCAGTGCAAGATATTAAACTTCCTGTTGAAGTTGATGTGATATCTTGCTCAAAAGGATAAAAGGTGGTTAAGGATGAAGCTGGAAAAGTACGTAGGGGAAGGAAGAGAAAAGAGAAGATTTTTGGGTGTGTGCTTAACCCCACGAGTGGACCCTCTTCCATAAGTGGGTCAAAAAGGACCCGTATTAGAATAATATGTGTTTTTATGCGATTTTTGTCATTTTGGTTAAGAAAAATCACTTGTATAATATTTAGTATTATATTTTGGTTCACACTAGAAATATTTTATATTTAATTTTTCACTGTTTATAATTTTAGACTTTTTTTTTACATTTTGAAAAAAAAAACGAAATTCCATAGAAAATGTATGCGGGTCATTTTTGACCCACTTATGGAAGCTTGGGGTAGTAATACAAAAACTACAATTTCTTAAAATGTATACAATTTAAATTTAAAATGTGAATGGCATGATATCCAAAACAT